TCGTTCAAATGACTGGAGGCGACGTCCAGCACGATTTAGCGCCATAAGTATGCGTGCAGGGCGATCCCCCTTGCTGTTTGCTAGAAGGTGTCCAGTAAGACCCCAGGATGGCGCGCAAGGACATTACTATCCTGGCTCTCCTCCTCCCTCCTCCCCGCTGCGTCATTTCCCTTCCTCTCTCCTCATCCTCGTCTCTCCTTCACGCCTTCCTCTCTCCGCCTCCCTCGTGCGGTTCGGTCCTCGCCTTCCCTCACTCTCTTCCCCCATTCACCCCTTCGTCCCTCCTCCGCCCTCACCCCGCATGATGCCCCACAGGGTGGTAGGAGGCCCAGCTTGAAAGAAAGGCGGGCCCCTCACATCATTTTTCCCCACATCCTGAGTGGGGTTCTTGTTTTCCCAGGACACCCTTTCCTTCCCACCTTCCCACCTTCCCACCTTCCCACCTCCCGCTCCCTCTTCCTACTCCTACCATACCATACTATACCATACCATACAATACCGCTCCTTCTTCCTACTCCTACCATACCATACTATACCATACCATACAATACCATACCATACTATAGCAGACCACCGTACGTACCATACCACACCTAGGAAACCATACATACACCATCACCGCATACCTACCACACCATACAATACCATACAATACCTACCTACCACGCTCGCTCCCTCTTCCTATCCCTACCATACCGTACTATACCATACCATACAATACAATACCATACTATAGCAGACCACCGGAGTCAGGCAAGCACGTAGGAAACCATACATACACCATCACCGCATACATACCACACCATACAATACCATACAATACCTACCTACCGCTCCAGGGAGGCCCCGCCAGAGCGAGGACAGCATTCGCAAACCATATGATTTATCAGGTTTCGTTCCCCTCCCACCGCTCCAGGGAGGCCCCGCCAGAGCGAGGACAGTATTCGCGAACCATATATTTTTGTCAGGTTTCGTGCCCCTCCCACCGCTCCAGGGAGGCCCCGCCAGAGCGAGGACAGTATTCGCGAACCATATTATTTTTCAGGTGTCGTGCCCCTCCCACCGCGCCAGGGAGGCCCCGCCAGAGCGAGGACAGTATTCGCAAACCATATTATTTAACAGGTGTCGTGCCCCCCCCACCACTCCAGGGAGGCCCCGCCAGAGCGAGGACAGTATTCGCTAACCATATTATTTATCAGGTTTCGTGCCCCTCCCACCCCTCCAGGGAGGCCCCGCCAGAGCGAGGACAGTATTCGCAAACCATATTATTTATCAGGTTTCGTGCCCCTCCCAGCGCTCCAGGGAGGCCCCGCCAGAGCGAGGACAGTATTCGCAAACCATATTATTTATCAGGTTTCGTGCCCCTCCCACCGCTCCAGGGAGGCCCCGCCTGAGCGAGGACAGTATTCGCAAACCATATTATTTATCAGGTTTCGTGCCCCTCCCACCCTCCAGGGAGGCCCCGCCAGAGCGAGGACAGTATTCGCAACCATATTATTTATCAGGTTTCGTGCCCCTCCCACCCCTCCAGGGAGGCCCCGCCAGAGCGAGGACAGTATTCGCAAACCATATTATTTATCAGGTTTCGTGCCCCTCCCACCGCTCCAGGGAGGCCCCGCCAGAGCGAGGACAGTATTCGCAAACCATATTATTTATCAGGTTTCGTGCCCCTCCCACCGCTCCAGGGAGGCCCCGCCAGAGCGAGGACAGTATTCGCAAACCATATTATTTATCAGGTTTCGTGCCCCTCCCACCCCTCCAGGGAGGCCCCGCCAGAGCGAGGACAGTATTCGCAAACCATATTATTTATCAGGTTTCGTGCCCCTCCCACCGCTCCAGGGAGGCCCCGCCAGAGCGAGGACAGTATTCGCAAACCATATTATTTATCAGGTTTCGTGCCCCTCCTCCAGGGAGGCCCCGCCAGAGCGAGGACAGTATTCGCAAACCATATTATTTATCAGGTTTCGTGCCCCTCCCACCGCTCCAGGGAGGCCCCGCCTGAGCGAGGACAGTATTCGCAAACCATATTATTTATCAGGTTTCGTGCCCCTCCCACCCCTCCAGGGAGGCCCCGCCAGAGCGAGGACAGTATTCGCGAACCATATTTTTTATCAGGTTTCGCGCCCCTCCCACCTCTCCAGGGAGGCTCCACCAGAGCGAGGAGGGCATTCGCGAACCATAGTATTGATCAGGTTTCGTGCCCCTCCCACCCCTCCAGGGAGGCCCCGCCTGAGCGAGGAGGGGCCCCTGCCACCCCTCCAGGGAGGGTATACGAATACCATACTATTTATCAGGTTTCGTGCCCCTCCCACCCCTCCAGGGAGGCCCCGCCAGAGCGAGGAGGGTATACGAATACCATACTATTTATCAAGTTTCGTGCCCCTCCCACCCCTCCAGGGAGGCCCCGCCTGAGCGAGGATGGTAGACGAATACCATGCTACTTATCCGGTCTCGTGCCCCCCTCACCCCTCCAGGGAGGCCCAGCCAGAGCGAGGAGGGTACACGAATACCGTACTATTTATTTTTATTTGGTTTCGGCCCCTCCCCCCGCACCTCCGCCTCTTCCTCTTCCTCCTGGCTAAGCCCGCGCCCTATTCAAACGCCCATGTGGGGAACTCCGTTAGCATAATTTCAAGCTCGGCGCATCCCTCCGCTTCCTCCTGTCCCATACTTTGGCGGGCCCCCGAGTGCATTTTCGTTGGCTCAATCTCTCGCTGTCCGTTCTTCTTGATCTCTCTCTTATTCTTGGTTCTCTCCCGTCTCCCGCTTCACATCCGTCTCTTTCCTCTCCTCCTCCTTCCTCCCCGCTGCGTCATTTTCCCTTCTCCCTCCTCCGTGTCTCACCTTCACGCCGTCCTCTCTCCGCTTGCCTCACGTTCTGCTTCCCAGCGCTCCAAGACGGCCCCAAGAGGTCCCCAGCACAGAACCAAGGCAGCCCAAGAGGCCCCCGCGACGGCCCGAATGCGACCCAAGAGAGCGCCAAGACGGCATACGAGGCCGCCAAGACGGCCCAAGAGGCCCTCAAGACGGCCCCAAGACAGGGGCAAACGCGGGCACCGAGACCGACAGTTCGAGCCCAGACGCCAAGAGCCGCAGGGGAGCCCCCGTGGCGCCCCCAAGAGTCCCCCAACGCCACCAGGAGACACCCAACAACAGCGGGAGAGGCCCCATCCCCACAAACCCCCCAGGGCCCTCCAAGAAGGTCCCCCCAACGCATCCAACGAGCCTCCCAGCATTGTCTCGCCCAGGCTCCCATGAGTTATTGGGCATCTTTTTTAGGCTGCCCTGGGGCCTCCTCGCGGCTGCCTTGCGCGACGTCCTGGAGCCTTGTTCGGCGATTCCCGAAGCGTCCATGAGGAGGCATACTCCCATCCTCGCCCTACTCTGCGAGGTTGGCTCGGGCTGCGGTTGAACCGAAGCGCGCGCGAAGCGCGCGCGTGGTTCTAGTATGTGCATATAAGTACATATATATATATACACATATATGTATACATATATGCATGTTTGTATATACGTACACAGATTTCTGTATATACACCTATGAAAAGATATACATGTGTGTAGATCGATCCCCATCCGTCCTCTGCGAAGGTGGAGGAGGAGCAGGAAATGGAGAAGGAGGGGAAGGACGACGATGACGAACACGAGGAGGAAAAGGAGGAGGAGGAGGAACGCGAGGAGGAAGAGAAGGAGGGGAAGCAGGAGGGAGGAGGGAGGAGGGATGATGAGGGTGATGAGGATGTTGAGGGTGATGAGGATGATGAGGATGATGAGGATGGTAATGACAATTTGGGATGATGGTAATGATGAGGATGTTGACTGGTGAGAGTGCGACTGATGATGATGGTGACGATGATGATAGTGGTGACGGTGATGATGATGCTGATGATGATGCTGCTGATGATGATCATGTTGATGACGATGACGATGGCGCTGCTGCTGCAAATGATGATGATGATGATGATGCTGATGATGATGATGATGATGGTGGTGGTGGTGGTGATGGTGATGATGATGATGATGCCACGCTGCTGATGAGGCTGATGATCATGCTGGTGATGGAAGTTGTGATGAAGGCGGTGAGGCCGATGGTGACGATGATGATGATGATGCTGATGATGATGATAATGATGATGAAGATGATGATGATGGTGATGATTGTGGTGGCGATGCTGAGCATAGTGATGGTTGTGTTGGGGTTGTGATGAGTAGGATGATGGTGATTAGGATGATGATGCCGATGCGTATGATGATGCCGATGATGATGGGAATACTGTTAATGATGCTGATGGTGATGGTGCTGCTGCTGATGGCAATAATGCCGAGACTGAGTATGATGACGATGAGGCAGATGATGCCGCTGCTGATGATGATGATTGATGATGATGATGATGATGATCTTGGTGACGATGAATCTGATGATTGTGTTGATGGTGATAGTGATGATTATGATGATGACGATGAGGATGGTGGTGATGTTGATCAAGATTATGATGATGCTGGTGATACTGATGATGTTGCTGATGATGATGACGATGACGATGACGATGATGATGATGATGCTGATGATGATGATGATGATGATGATGATGGTGATGATGATGATGATGATGAAGAAAATGATGGTGATGAAGATGAGGGTGATGCTGATGCTGAGGATGAGGAGGAGAAGTGAGGGAGGGAAAGGGAAGGCGGAGGAAGGGGAAGGAGGGAGGGAGATGGGAGGGACGACGCAGGAGGGAGGGGGGAAGAGGGCTGTTTCGACTGCAGATTATTGCAGGAGGGAGGAGGGAGGGAGGAGCGGGAGGAGAGAGATGAGCAGTGAAGTGGGGAGAAGGCAGGGAGGAGAGGAGGGAGAAGAGGAGAGGAGGGAGGGAAAAACGTAGAGGAGGGTGGAGATGAGGGAAGAGAGGAGTGGAGGGAGGGAGGGAGGAGAGGAGGGAGGAGGGAGGAGGGAGGAGGGAGGAAGAGTGGGAGAGGGAGGAGGAAACCGCGCTGAGGTCGTCGCCCGGCCGCTACCGCGAGGCGTGCGGCCCCGCCCGGCAGCGCGTGGCCCGAAGTGTTTCCCGGGGGCGGGGCGGGGGGCCTCCTCCATCTTCCCTCTATGCTGCTCTTCCCTCCATCTTCTTTCCTTCTTCCCCCCATCTTCTTCAATCCTCCTCCTCCATCCTCCTCCCTTCCTCCCTCTGTGCATCCTGCGCATCCTCCCACTCATCCTCCCCGCTCCCTGGGAGCGGTGGACCTCCTACTCCTCCTCATCACGCCATGCCCTCACGAGCCCGGGCTAGCTCCTAGAGCAGCGCGCGCACGACTCTGGCGATCGTCTCGCCCCCATCCCCCTCACCCATCCCTCTTCATCCTCCATCCCCGTCCTCCAAATTAGGCCGTTTACACCCACGTGTATGGAAAGGGCGACATGGTAAACCATTGGGTAATGGGGCCCTGCAGATTTCTCTGCACACAGAAGTAGGAACTTCGGTACAAGTCAATCCCACTGAATCCTCGTCCCCTTCCTTTATCCTCCAAGGCAAAGCTGCGCGTCCTCCACCACCACCACCATCATCATCATCATCAGCAGCAGCATCATCATCACCAGCATCATCATCATCATCATCAGCATCGTCGTCATCGTCACCATCAGCATCATCATCATTATCAACATCATCAGCATCATCATCTTCGTCATTGTCATCATGAGCAGCATAATCATCATCGTCATCATTGTCACCGTCATCGTCATCATCATCATGAGCAGCAGAATCATCATCGTCATCAATTTCGCCGATATCGTTGTCAGCATTATCACCAGCATCAGCAGCATCATCAGCAGCTGCAGCATCACCATCCTCACCGCCATCACCATTACAGGACTGATCATCAGCATCAGCATACCTCACCCTCAGCATCAGCATAATCATCAGCATCAGCATCATCATCATCATTGTCATCGTCATCAGTGTCATCGTCGTCGCCATCATCAGCAGCAGCAACTTCACCATCCTCTTCACCATCAGCAGAATCACCATCCTCTCTCTCATGAACTATCGACAACCGCATCGTTAGTACCACCAATGCCATCACCATTATCATCATAGTCGTCATCATCATCGTCGTCACCAGCATCGTCATCATCGTCAGCATCAGCATCATCAACAGCAGCATCATCATCCCAATCAGCATCATCATCACCACCACCATCATCATCATCATCAGCATCAGCATCATCAGCATCATCATCGTCCGTCCTTCCTTCTCCCAGGCAGCGCTGTGCATCATTGTCCGTCCTCATCATCAGCATCATCCATCATCCTTCATCCCCCCTGGCATCGTCCGCCCCAGCTTCCTCCTCCTCCGCCTCCATCCCCCTTCAACTCCTCAGGGAGGAGGGGGTATGGACGAACCTAGACCTGCTCGTGCCGTGAAACGACTATGAGAGGAGTTTGTTAACCATTAGCTGCTTCTCGAGGCCCTCATCGAGCCCCAGGATCTTCATCACAACCACTGGGGCTGAACAACTTGTCCCTGGAAAGGGTGGGGGTCCACACGTTGTAAAACAATACTACGACGTCGTAAGTTTGGGCAAGAGGCCGAGGGGGGTGTCGGAAGGCTTTCGAGACTGGGACAACATGAGGACGAAAGAGGTTCGATTCGAAGGAGGGCGGGGGCTGTGGACGGAAGCGGGGGGGTGGCACTAAGGCCAAAAGAGGAGGACGACTTAGGGGTCCGAGATGCGCGTTCCTGGGCCTGCTCTGGGCCCTTGGTCGCCGTGGCTAGATTCGCTTCGAGATCCTGGCCAGAAAACATTCCAAGACAGGTGGGCAAGGAGGTCGCTCCTCCTTTCGCTCACCATCATCGTCCTCATCATCCCACCACTGGGCCTGTTGTCGGTTGGCCACCTTCATGGCCAGAATGCCCAGGGATCAATCGGCCACACTCCCCCAGGCTGTGGAAACATATACCCTTTGTGCCTCAGCGGATTCCGATTGTTGGTGGTCTGCTTGTCGGTTATGTTTGTTTCTTGTCGGTCTCCCTGAACACTGGGTGGCCAAACGACCAAGGCATTTTGAATCCTCGTGGCCGTAACGCCCGCATGGCGTATTCCGTAGAAGCAAAAAACCATACTGGCACAGGCCAGAGCAGTCCGGACTCGAGCGTGTGTCGTCAAACACTCCGTGCAGAGCTCGGAGGCGGCGCAGCACGAGGCGGGGGAGGGACTCGATAATGACGCGGGGGGCAGGGTGAGATCCATGCAGACGGCCAGACGACCAGGGGCAGCAGTGCCTCCTTCGGAGGGTGGCCCTGCGGGCGCGCCTGAGTCGTTGGCCCTGCGGTCTTACGCAGCATTCTATGTTAGACTTGATGGGCATGTCGGGTCGGCACCGACCCGAACGATGTGCGGCGCTATCGAAGCTTGCGCAGGACAGCTTGCCAGGTAAGATCAAACGGACAAGCAAATAGACGTGCCAGCAGGGGAGCTCGGCCTCCGACAGCACCAGTTGCGGAGACGTCGCAAACAAACGTAATAAGCAGCCTTGCCGAACACAACATCAATGCCAGCGCTGTCTTGGACTTGGCATCGGGGTCTTGGAACACATGTTCCTGATGCGAAGTATCAAGAAGGTCCTACGACAAAGGCTTCAATTGCATGTGGGTGTGCGACAGATGCTGGGGTGTGGAGCCCGAGCGCATCACAGTTGTGCGCGAATCATGTTTTCGACCATCGGCGAGAATGCGGGAAAGCTGGGCGTCCCGATCTATTCGTGATGTTAGAGGTCTTGGGCCAACGACGACGACGATTTCGGCGTAAAAATTCGACGTCGTCGACGACGACGACGACGACGACGACGACGACGACGACGACGACGACGACGACGACGGCGCCAGCTGGCCTCCGGATCTCTTCTGGGAGCGCGTCCTGGCCAGAGTTTCGGGCCGTGAGCCCAGCCGTGGCGGGCGAGGGAGGCCCCCGCGGAGAGCCCTTGAGAGGCCGGAGGGGGCGTGCACGAGTGTTGCAGCGGCGCACGCCCTCCGCAGTCTCCCTGTGCCGTGCTGGGGCGCTGTTTGGCCGTCGTGGGGGCCATGCCTCGTGCCGCCCTGCGCGGGCGGAGGGCGAGTGTGTTCCGGGCCTGCCGGCTGGATGGGCCGAGACTCCCTTGGGAAGTCGTGAGGAATGGCGCAGCAGCCAGTCCAGTCCGTTGGGCACGTCCTTGATGCACCGACGGGGGGCGGCGCATCGAGGACGCCTACGGCGAATCACCGCCGCCCCCTGCCTTCTGGAAACGCCCATGCGGCCAAACGGTGGGCTGAAGGCTGGTCGAGCGATTGGAGTACGTGTCCCCCCAGCCGTTGTGGAACCCTTTGGGGGGACACTTTGGAGAGGGAGGGACAGGAGGAGGAGAAGGAGGCCGAGGAGGAGGAGAAGAAGGAGGAGGAAGAAGAAGAGGAGGCATCTTGAGGCCCTCCTGGGGCCTCCTGAGGGCTTTTTGGGGGCGATATGGGGGCCTCTGATGGGCCTTTTGGGGCCTCCTGAAGCTTCTTGGGGGGCGCCTGGTGTCTCTTGGGGGGTCTGAGAGGGCCTCTAAGTAAGGACAATGAATGACTGTGGCCTCCTACAGGGGCCCCTGGGGCTGTCTGGAGGCCATCTTGGGCCGTCTCGGGTGCAGCTCGGGCCGTCTTGGCGACGTCTTTGAGCCACCTTTGGGCTCTCTTGGAGCCATCTTAGCCGTCTTGGAGGCAAGTTTAGCCACATTATTGGAAGCCATCTTGAGGCCATCTGTGGCGAGAAAGCTGATGCGAGCTTTCAAAAGGAGGGCCGCTGAGGGGTCGTCTTGGAGCCGCATTGAGGGCCTCTTGGACCTTCTTGAAGGCCACTCGGGGGCCTCGTGAACGTCTTGCTGAGTTTTGGGGCGATATTGGGGGCGTGTGGACCCGTCTTTCAGCGTCGGAAGCCCAAAAAGGTGAGAAGGCTGAAAGCATTGAACAGCCCACGGATCGAGTGGCCTTCGGCCCATCACGACACCACGCCTAGGTTGTAGGTCAGAGGCTTCTTGGCTACTTGTGGCGGTCTCTTGGGAGGCCTCTCGGGGGCCTCTCTGGGGCCTCCTGAGGCTTGGCTTGGGGCGCTCAGAGGCATCCTGGGGCTTCGGGTGGCCGGGGGGGGCCTGCTTGCGGCGTCGGGGCTCATCTTGGGGCGGAGAGCGCGACATGTAAGTTCGAGTTCCTTGTTGGGCCGCCTTATGAAACGTCGGAAGTCCGAAAAGGCGAGAACGCAAAAGTCGCTCAAAGACCCAAGGGAAATGTATCATGTTGGCCTCGTGGTGCCCTCTTGGGGGGCCTCTTGGGCCGTCTGGAGGCCATCTTGACCATCTTGGAGCGCCCTTGGGCTGTTTCGGAGGTCTCTTGGACTCTCTTGGGGCCCTCCTGGCCCAGCCCGTGGGGACAGCACGCGGGGGCACGCGAGGCGCACGCGATACGCCCCGTGAAATTTGAGCAATTGAGGTCGGGGCCCCTTCGACTCAATTGTGAGGACTAGTGGTCCTGAGGACAATCCAACTCGTGCCTCGGGGCACGGTGGCGGATCTGGATTTTTTTGGGGGGACAGGGTTTCAAGCGGAGTAGTGTGTGGTCTGAGGTGACGAGTCGGTGGGCAAGCTTTCTCTGCCGCTGAGGCCTTGAGCGCTTCGTCACTGGGAGGGGCAACTAATGTTTCATTTCAAGCCCCACATATTGAGCCACATGGTAGCCGCATCGCAACGCATGGTTGGAAGGTGCGTGGCTGCTGACCTCCACAAGGAATCTGACAGGCACAACAGTGCAAGCTTTCGTGCATAAAAGGGTTTGGTGCGTGCATCGTCTGGTCGACGCGCTGTGATCCACGCAAGCTGTGTGAACATCGGCAAGGTCATGCTATGCTATGCCTTACGCACCGCACAGCTTGACACCGCACAGGCATAGAAGCCTATGGTCCAAGAGGCTTCTCCGGAAACATCCTGGGCAGGCGGGAAGAAGTTCGGCCCGTCTGGGCGTTTACTCTACAACTGCACTTCCAATTCGAATGGCAACACAGGGGCGGACAAATCCTGCCCACTTGTCAGTGTCGCGGACTCGGTGCGACAGAGGCTCTTATGAACAAGTGGAGCGACGTGTCAAAATTCCCACAGACAGCGATGTAACGAAAATGAAACGAATTTCGGAGCCACGGCCATGTTCAGAGGAGGCGCTGGCCTTCCCCAGAATAGGGCCTGCGCCTGGCCTCCTGACCCACAAGCAGGTCTCGAGCCTCGAGCGTCGAACCTCGAGCGCTGGCGACGACGACGGCGATGAGTCGACGACGACGGCGGCACCGATTGCGCCGACGACGCCGACAGCGGCACCGACGACTGCGCCGACGACGAGTCGACGGCGGCGGCGGCGCCCACGAGGCGCCGACGACGACGACTCGTCAACGGCGACGGCGACGACGCCGACGACGCCCTTGGCGGCCAGAGGCGCGCGACCTCCCCACCTCCAGCGGGGAGTCGGACAGCGACGTGTCGTCGCAGGCCACCTCTCGGAAGCCGCGGGAGCCGACCCGCCCCGCGCGCGCCAGCCCCCGCGCGCGCGCTGGCGCCAGCGACGCTGTCGACGCCCGCCCGCGCCAGTGCGGGCGTGCTCTGCGCGGCGCGGCCGGGAGCTCGCGGCGCCGCAGGCACTGCCGCGGCTCCTGAGGGCCTGGCTCGCTCGGACGGCCTGTGCTGGCCCCTGGACGGCCTCGCGCGGGGTGTGCCCCTGGTCGCCGCCACCACTGCCACTGTCGTCTGCACGCAAGGATGACCCTTCGCCAGAGTGACCTGGGGCGGGCCCACCGAGGTCCGCCGATCGCTGGATGTGGTGCGATGGCAGCCAGTTGGCGCTCGGGTTCCCCCCACCCCCTGCCCCTCGAAATGCCGCGCACCAAAGGTCATTCTTGTCTAGGGTCACTCTTGCGTGACGTCGACATGGACTCCTGGTCTGGTTTGCCCCTGGTGGCTTGGGCCTCGGATGGCCTTCCCAGCGCGAGGATCGATGCACATGGAGTGCTTCCTCTGGCTTCCTGGAGCTCTGGCCACGGTCTTGGACGACCACTTGAGTACGCTCGCGTGCATGTTGCACCTCTCGGCGGTGCCACACGTGCCTCCTCGGTCCTCCTCGAGCCTGCTCGCACGACCATTCTCGCCTTGAACCCTTGCCAGGTTGTGCTGCCCTCTCGCTCGCAGCTCTTGGGTTCCCTGGAGTTGCCGTATCGCACCTTCGCGTGACTCCTTTGGATGCCAGAGGCCCCCGCACGGCCGACGAAGACTTCCAAGCTCCGGGTCGGGCCTCTTGTTCCCCCCCGGCGGCCGCCCTTCCCGCCTCCTTCCCCGCTTCGTCCTCTCCCTGTGCTTAGCTTGCGTTCGCTTTCGTGTCCGGGTGGACGCCCGACCGCCAGGCAATTGCACCCGCGGCTATTGACAAACAAATGTGTGTCTTTTCCCTAGAAGATCTGTCCACCAAACATGTGTTTCGAGCTCTTTCTTCAACGAGATTATTGTAGATAGACTCGAGGCATGGATTTTGCGCTCTTCCTCACAATCCGTGTCATCCTGAGCGTCTGCGTTTGTATGCTTGTTCAGTGGAAGTTCTCTTAGTGGCCTTCAGCCCAACCCGCAACCGTGGCTGGGCTGTGGGTCAGGAGCCTCTTAGATAAATATGAGGGTCTCTTGGAATGCCTCTCAGGGGCCTCTTGGAGGGCTCTTGGGTGCATCTCGGAGGCTAGCTGTGGCCTCTTGGGAGCCTCTTGGGGGCCTCTTGGGCCGCCTTTGGGGCTGCCTGGGCCGTCGTCGGTCGTAGACACGCTAACGACGATTTGGGTAACGGCAATGTAGGTTTCGGTATGGCAGGTGGGGGTGGTGCGTGGCCAACCTAGTTTGGGGAAAAAGCGCTGTTCGTGTTTTCCTACCATCTGTGCTGCGCAAGTTCGGCGTCGCGAAAACCAGATTCCCAACATCGCCGTCAACCAACATCACCGTTAGCGTGGCCTTGGCTCTTGGGGGCCTCATGGGCCGTCTTGTGAGATCTTGGGGGTCCCTTTGGCAGCCTTTGAAGCTGTCAAGATGAAAAAGGCGAGTGTGCTAAAACAGTTTATTTCCCCAAGGGAATTGCAAGATGTGTCATCTTTGGGCCTTCTCGGCGGTTCTCTGGGAACATTTTTGGGCCCTCTTGCGGGCCTTGTGGGCCGTCTTGAAGTCATCTTGGGTCGTCGTGGGGCTACTCTCTTGGCGCTCCGTCTGGACCCTCATGAGACTTTTTGGAGGCTCCGGAGGCCCCAGGGGTGCGTTGTAGAGCTCGGTCCCCCCCCCCCCCCATGGCCCCCCCCATCTGATTCGATTTTAAGCCCCAGGGGAGGGAGAAGGTGCAGGGGGAGAGCCAAATGGCTCACACGCCTTCTCACCCGTGGCAAGTGGGGGTCGGCGGATTCATGGTATGTTAGCTACGTCTATCCCTGCGTTCGGTGTATCACAGACGTGTGCATTATATATACATATATAGAGAGAGGGAGAGAGAGAGAGAGAGAGAGAGAGAAATCCGGGCACGCTGCCCGGGCGCGGGGCCCGGGTCTCGACAGGGCATGGCGGGATTGGGGGCCTTGGGGGCCCTGCCAGAGTGCCGGGGGCTCTCTAAGATCGCCCGCCAGAAATGGCGTCGCCAGACCGCGAAAATGACCAGTGACGGCCCGACATCACCTCTGAATTAGGCCCTCACTGTCCAAGAGGCCTCCAAGACGCTCCAAGAGGCCTCCGAGATGCCTCCCAAGGAGCCCCAGGAAGCAGACATCACTGATTTGCTTTAGGTGTTTGATGGATTTTCGAGTTCTCGCCTTTTCATTTCCCGATGCTTCACGACGGCCCAAGAGGCCACAATGTCCGCTCCAAGACAGTCCCAGAGACTTCAAAGAGGGCCCCAAAACGGCCCGAGAGAGCCCCAAGATGGTCCCAAGAGGGAGCCAAGAGGATGACACGAACCGAAAAACCGAGCCTTCACCCCGAGAGGCTCTCAGGAGGCCCCGAGAAGCTCCCCAGAGGGCCCAAGAGGCTCCAAGAGGCCTCCCACGAAGGCCCCAAGAGGCAAACAAAACGGTTGTCCCGTCGAAGTGTGACGGATTTCTGAGTTTTCAGCCTTTTGGCATCCCGACGCTCCAAGACGGTCCAAGAGTCCAAGATGCCTTCAAGACTGCTCTAAGATAGCTGAAGAGGCCTCTAAGAGGGTCCCAGGACGGCCCATGAGGGCCCCAAGGCGGCTGCCAAGGAGCCCCCAAGAGGCCGAAAAGTCGTTCAAAAATGTCGAGAACCATGCCTGGGAGGCCTGCAACAACCCCAGACGCTCCAATATGGCTTCCTGACAGCCCGAAACGTTCCCAAGACGCTCCAAGAGGGTTTCAAGACATCCCACTAAGAGCGCACCAAGAGGCCCGAATCATCAATTCGTCCAAACCATCCTGTGGTGTTGGCTCCTCCTTTTGAAGGGGCAGTCCCCACGTTCCTTCCTCTTCTTCCCCCTCCTGGTTCTTCCCACCATCATCCTCACCAGCATCATCATCATCATCATCATCATCATCATCATCATCATCATCATCAGCATCAGCATCAGCATCAGCATCAGCATCAGCATCAGCATCGTCATCATCATCATCATCAGCATCATCATCATCATCGGCAGCATCACCATCATCAACATCACCAGCATCATGATCATTATCAGCATCATTATCATCACAATCATCATCATCAGCAGCAGCATCATCATCATCCTCATCATCATCAGCATCATCGTCATCACCCTCATTATCATCAGCATCGTCAGCATCATCCGCAGCATCATCAGCATCAACATCACCATCATCACCATCAATAGCATCCCATCATTCCGTCATCTCATTTGTCCAGCATCATCGTGAGCACCGTCCGCATACTAACTAACCATCGTCAACATCGTTGATGCCGTCATCCTCATCAGCGTCAGCATCGTCGCCATCAGCATCATCAGTTTCATCACCATCACCAACACCATTATCATCGTCAGCATGAGCATCATCATCACCATCAGCATCATCATAATCATCATCAGCATCATCACCACCAGCATCATCATCGCCGTCATTATCACCATCAGTGCCACCCATTTCGGCACACCCTTCACACGTTTCGTGGCCCCATTGGGAGCTCCACCGAAGGCCCCCGTGGCGGTACCAACATGCGTCCGCGAAACAAATTTCGGCATACCCCTCAAACGTTTCGTGGCCCCATTGGGAGCTCCACCGAGGGCCCCAGTGGCGGTGCCCACATGCGTCCGCGCCACCCATTTCAGCACACCCCTGACACGCTTCGTGGCCCCACAGGGAGCTCCACCGAAGGCCCCAGTGGCGGTTCCCAAATGCGTCCGCGCCACCCAATCTGGCACACCGCTCACAAGCTTCGTGGCTCCACAGGGGGCTCCACCGAAGGCCCCACTGGCTGCGTCCACATGCGTCCGCGCCACCCATTTCGGCATTCCCGTCACAAGCTTCGTGGCCCGCGCGCACGTTGATGTGGAACAACCCGTCTGTGAGGTAGATCCACTCGTAGAAGTTACTGCACACGAAACGAAGACCATCATCGCGCCGAAAGGCGCCAGGATCATGCAGCAGCTCAGTCACACCCAACTTGACAACTTGCATTCCCACGGAACACACCGCAACCAAGAAACGGACCAGCTCGATGTTCCACTCAGAAAGGCCAAACGTCACCCAGGCACTCTTAGAAGTCACTCCTAGGGAGTGCGGACCAAAACCAAGCTGGCAAGGAGTATCTAAGCGTTTGTGCATCCCGTGCCGTACGGGACCTCGGACACTCACAGACTAATAGCCGCATGGAACAGTAAAGTTATTCGCAGAACTTGTATATTTTGCCAGGCTGGCGTCGTGACTCCGTCGTACCCGCACCAGAGCGGAATATCAAGACACATAAACGTTCATGAGCCGAAGGCTTCAGATACCAGGATGAGTAGACCGTATTCGGGCAAGCTTCCACATCCACATCATCAATATCCGGAGTACCCTGCCTGGATGTGCTCACCTGTTGTACGCCGCGTGGCCGAGCAATTGCTCTGAGGTCATGTTGGCTCTCTTGGAGCCTGTCCAAAACCGCCGTTGGTCGTCCATCAAGCGTCCGAGCACCCTGTCGATCCTGAAGTCGTCCGAGACGGGAACCTCAAGGGGGGCGCCCTGCTGCTCTGAATAACGTATGAAACGAACGCCTAACATTTTTGCATAAATGCTGAAAGTCGTATCCAGGAAACTGCTCCAGACAAGTCGGCAATCGTGGATCTTGGCAAAACCATACAGCGCCGTTGTTCAAGAAGGATGTAATGAGATATGTTGTGCCCACCACCGCCACAGGCACCACCAACTAGTTCGTGTCTTCCAGATGGCGGCCGCGAGACGTTTGGCCGTCTCTGGTGGTGGTGGGATGGTAATCGGCGAGGCCCAAAGCCGCGGCGGCGTATATAGACAAAGGCGAGACGAACCCGAATTTGATGTGTGCCAGGTACTGCCTTCAAAATCTCAATCGCGATGTCTAGCTTTGCCCACCTCTGCCGTGGTAACATATCCCAGCATGTGTCGACCAGCTTGGCCAGGATCCCCAAGTGCTCGATCTCTACCGGCGATTGAGAGTCCGACCAGCGCTGTCTCTCATTTGTATCCTCACGGAATCCAACATCAGCGTCAAAAGCAGTTGTATTGGCCAAGGCATGGTCCAACTCGTCACTGGATTGTGCCGTCAGCGAGGGGTCGTCATAGCTTCGTGGCCCCACAGGGAGCTCCACCGAGGGCCTCAGTGGCGGTGCCCACATGCGTCCGCGCCACCCATTCCGGCACGCTCCTCATAAATTTTGTGGCCCCACGGGGAGCTCCACCGAGGGCCCCAGTGGCGGTAAACACATGCGCCCGCGCCACACATGTCAGCGAACCCCTCACAAGCTTCGTGGCCCCACAGGGAGTTCCACCGAAGGCCCCCGTGGCGGTACCCACATGCGTCCGCGCCCCCCCCTTCCGGTACACCCCTCACACGTTTCGTAGCCCCACAGGGAGCTCCACCGAAGGCCCCAGTGGCGGTGCCCACACGCGTCCGCACCACCCGTTTCGGCACACCCCTCACGCTTCGTGGCCTCATTGGGAGCTCCACCGAAGGCCCCAGTGGCGGTGCCCATATGCGCCCGCTCCACCCATGTCGGCACACCCCTCACACGCTTCGTGACCCCACAGGGAACTCCAACGAAAGCCCCAGTGGCTGCGTCCACATGCGTACCGCAGCAATGTCGGCGCACCCCATCACACGTTCCGTGGCCCCACAGGGAGCTCCATCGATTGCGGTGCATACAACGACGGTGCCCACAACGACGATACCCACAACTGCGTATGGTTGGGTCCTTCGCCAGGCTAATTGTTATGTGTTTGCTGAGGTTTGTTTCAGTTCTCGCTTTGTCAGACTCCGAATTGCCCAGACGGTCTAAGGACCCTCCCGAACGACCCAAAAGGGCCCGAGAGGCGCTCAACACATCCCCCAGAGGGCCACAAGACAGCCCAAGGCGGGCCCAACACAGCTCAAGAGGCGCTCTCAAGGGCTCCTGGACGGCCCAAAGCGGGAGCCCAGAGACGCAAACGAATCGACAATTCTAGCTTTCACCCCGAGGGGCCCCAAGAGGCCCTCAAGAGAACCCAAGAGGCCCCCAAGACGCCCCCAAGAAGACCCCAAATTTGCCCCAAGAGACCCCCGAAAAGTTTCAAAATGGAGAGGCGTCCAGTCATCCCCAGGCGGTCCCAAAGCAATTCCCCAGAAGGCTGCCCAGAGCCGGGGAACGATGCAGAAGCCCGACGACGACGCCGACGACGAAGACGACCAGGACCATCGGACACGGGGCCCACGGATCACACCGTCGGAAGTCTGAACCTCCGTTTTTCTTCCATCATTTTCACCGAGGAGCAGGAGGAGTATAAGGATCGACCCGAGGACAGCCAAGCGAGTAGGCAGACAGGGGTGGCTAGCCCCAGGGGCCCTGCGAGGGTGGCTGCTCTCGCCGTCATAGCAGGGCGCGGCTCGAACCGCTGGTCGCGACAGCGTCTGGGAGCGATCCAGGCACACGTTGTCTTGGCTGGAAAAGCAGCTGAGCGACGCAGGAAAATGGGGCCGACCTGCACGGCCATTGGCGCGCGAGCTGGCCATAGAAGGTCGCGCGTTGACGCCATCCTCGCCAGCACACGCCTCCGCATAAGGTCGCCCAGCCCTCGCGCGTGAGGCATTTCCTGATCGCGGCTCATGCAGCTGCCGTTTCGAAGCGCGCCCGCGCGCGGGCAGGGTCCGCAGCCCTCCTGGCTCCACCCAGCCCGCGCGGGTGGGCAATGGCGGCGGTGGCGCGCGCTAGTTCCGCGGGGAGGCCGCGATGGCCGCGTTGCGCGCCAGCTCCGCCGGGCCCCGCGCCCCCGCGCCCGCGGCGTTGCACGCTCGCGGCGGCTCCGCGGGCCTCGGCCGGCGGCTGCGCGCCGGCCGGCGCGCCAGCCGGCGCGTGGCGGAGGAGTGGGGCGCGGAGGAGCCGCAGGCCACGCAGGAGTGGTGCGGCCAGGCGGTGCGGCGCGCGCAGGAGCTCGGCGACTGGGCCGCGCGCGCGGCCGCCGCGCGCGGGCTGCTGCAGCGCGAGGAGGCGCGTCTGGGCGCCAGCGCGCGCGAGGCCGCCTGGCTGCGGGGCGCGCTGCAGGCCTCGCGCGCGGGGCTGGTCAGCCTGCACGCCGACCCTGAGCGGCTGGAGGAGGAGCGCGCCCGCTGGGAGGCAGATGCCGACGCCGCCCGCGCCCGCACGCGCCGCCTGGAGCAGCGCCTGCTCGCGCTGCACCGCCCCCGCCGCCAGCCCGCCCCCGCACGGCCCTCCGCGGAGGAGCAGCGGCGGCAGCGGCAGCTGGAGGACCTGGGCCGCAGGCGCATCGCGCTGCAGGGGCAGCGGGATGCGATGAGCCTGCGCCGGGAGGAGCGCGAGGGCGAGGCCCGCGTCCTCGAGCGCGCCCTGGGCGTGCAACCGTCCGCGGAGGCGGTTGGGGAGTCCGCCGCGCAGGTCCTGGTGGGCGACTACGAGGCCGCGGAGGCGGAGGCGGAGGTGCTCCGCCTGCAGCTCCAGTCCGCCTCGCTCGACGCCGCCGCGCTCCGCGACGGCCACGCGGCGCTGGCCGCACGGCTGGCCACCGAGCGGTCGTCGGAGGCCGCGGCCTCTTCACGCCTGCGGCGGCTGGAGGACGAGGAGCAGGCGGAGCGCGACCGCAGGACGCGGGCGGCCTCGGAGCTCCAGGAGGCTCACGGCCAGCGGGCTGCGCTCGCCTCCGAGACGGCGGAGCTGCGCGCAAGCTGCGAGGCCGCCGCCGAGCGGCTGCGAGGCCGCGAAGCCCGGCTGGAAGCCGCGCGCCGCACGGCATGCGCCCTCGAGGCCGGATTGGCAGCCGCCGCGGGCCGCGCCGCCAGCGCCGAGGCGGAGGCCCAGCAGAGCACCGCCGAGATGGAGGATCGCTGCACGGCGCTCCATGGCGAGCTCGAGAGCCAGGGCATTGCGCGCCAGGAGCTCGACGCGCGGCGGGCGGCAAATCGCAAGCGCCACAGCGAGCAGGATGCGGTCGAGTGCCGCCTCAGGGAAGAGCTCCGCGCCACCGCGGCCGCCGGCGCCCACCTCGAGGCTGGGTTGGCGGCGTTGTGGCCACGGCTGGAGATGTCCGGGGACGAGCTGCGGGCCGAGGAAGGCCAGGCTGAGCGGATATCGACTGAGGCCGCCGCCCGCGCCGCGCAGGAGAGGCGGCTCGCGACCGAGCTCGCCAGCGCGGCGGAACGGGCGCAAGAGGCCCGCTGCCAGGTCGAGGCCCTGCGCGGCGACCGCGCCCGCGCCCGCGCCGAGGCCGAGGAGGCGCTGGGCTGGTGCGGCCGCGCGATGGCCGCCTCCGAGGCCTCGGCGCTGACGGTGCGGCGACGCGAGGCGCAGCTGGCGCGGTCGGGGCGCTCCTGCGAGCTGATGCGCGCTACCCTCGGCCAGCGCCTGGCGGCCTTGGCGGCCCAGGTGGCCGAGGCGAGGAGTGCGGTCGTGGGCGCCGAGGAGGAGCTGGCGCGGGAGCGGGCCGAGCACCACGCCTTGCTCACCCGCCTCCAGGCCGACAGCGACCGGCGCTGCGCCAGGCGCCGCGCGGCAGAGACGTAGCGGGCCGCTCTGGGCATCGTATTTGTCCTTCCCAGACTTCCAACGCCTCGAGAAACTCAAGATATATGTTTTTGTTGCCGTTTTCGTACTCCCGGGCCCCTCGCCGGGCCCCAGGGCCGTCAAAAACATCTCAGGATGAAAAGCCGGGTCTGGGGGAAGAGTCCAGGCCACCAGGACCTTCGCTTTGAGAAGCTCGAGACATCGGATGTCTGGGTCCGAGGGAGGGAAAACACTGCATGAGCAGAACTGTCGGAGGTCTGCGCGGATCCTTCGGATCGGCGCCAGACTCCCCTGGCGGCGCCTCCCCAGCGCCACCCCTAGCGCGCTGCGCGCGCCAGGCAGGGTGGTCCAGCACTGGTCCAGAAGTCTACGCGGACCCCCGATAATTCATGTTCGTACATGTGTTGTGTGTTGTGTGTTGTTGTTGTGTGTTGTTGTTGTTGTTGTTGTTGACGAAACCACTAGCTGGCGGACCGGCCCCCCCCCCCCCCCCCCCCCGCGCGCAACGCAGCGCAACGCAACGCAACGCTCTCCCCGCGCGCCCCCCCGCGGGGCGTACAGGGACCCGTACAGGGTTCTATAGGGCTCCCACAGGACCCCTACAGGGTTCCATAGGATTCCTATAGGACCCCTACACGGTTCCATAGGATTCCTATAGGACCCGTACAGGGTTCCATTGGACTTTTGTAGGAGCCGCACAGGGTTGGATCGGACCCCCATAGGACCCCTACAGGGTTCCATCGGATTCCCATAGGACCCGTGTAGGGTTCCATTGGACTCCTATAGGACCCCTACAGGGTTCCATGGGACTCCCATAGGACCCCTACAGGGTTTCATAGGACTCCCATACGACCCAGACAGGGTTCCTGAAGACTCCCATGGAACCCCGACAGGGTTCCATAGGACTCCCATAGGACCCCTACAGGGCTTCATAGGACTCCCATAGGACCCCTACAGGGATCCATCGGGTTCCCATAGGACCCGGACAGGGTTCCATCGGGTTCCCATAGGACCCGGACAGGGTTCCATGGGACCCCCATAGGACCCGTACAGGGTTCCATCGGACTCCCATACGACCCCTACAGGGTTCCATCGGATTCTCATAGGACCCGTACAGGGTTCCATCGGACTCCCATAGGATCCGTATGGGATCCTATACAGTCTGTATAGGATCCGTATGGGATCCCATACAGTCTGGATCCGTATATACAGGATCCGTATGGGATCCCCATACAGTCCGTATAGGATCCGTATGGGACCCCATACAGTCCGTGTATGGGAGGATCCGTAGGGGATCCCATACAGTCTGTATAGGATCCGTAGGGGATCCCATACAGTCTGTATAGGATCCGTATGGGATCCTATACAGTCTGTATAGGATCCGTATGGGATCCCATACAGTCTGTATAGGATATGTATGGGATCCTATACAGTCTGGATAGGATCCGTAGGGGATCCCATACAATCCTTATAGGATCCGTAAGGGGATCCCATACAGTCCTTATAGGATCCGTATGAGACCCCGTACAGTCCGCATAGCATCCCCATACAGTCCGTATCGGATCGGGGATCCCATGCAGTACCGTATGCGATCCCATACAGTCCGTATAGGATCCGTATGGGATCCCATACAGTCCGTAGGATCCGGGATCCCATGCAGTCCGTATAGGATCCGTATGCGATCCCATACAGTCCGTATAGGATCCGTATGGATCCCATACAATCCGTATAGGATCCGTATGGGATCCCATACAGTCCGTATAGGATCCGTATGGGATCCCATACAGTCCGTATAGGATCCGTATGGGATCCCATACAGTCCGTATAGGATCCGTATGGGATCCCATACAGGCCGTATAGGATCCGTATGGGATCCCATACAGGCCGTATAGGATCCGTATGGGGATCCCATACAGTCCGTATAGGATCCGTATGGGATCCCATACAGTCCGTATAGGATCCGTATGGGATCCCATACAGTCCGTATAGGATCCGTATGGGATCCCATACAGTCCGTATAGGATCCGTATGGGATCCCATACAGTCCGTATAGGATCCGTATGGGATCCCATACAGTCCGTATAGGATCCGTAGGGGATCCCATACAGTGGGAGCTCCCGTAGGGTCACACACCCCCCACCTGCCCGCGCAACGGAACACAACGCAACAGAGGCTGCTCATACAGCCGTGTTGCGTTGCGTTGCGTTGCGTTGCGGGGGGGGGGGGGGGGGGGGGTCCTGGTACACCAGTGGGTTGTTTCGCTACATGGAGCAAAACAGCGAACTGGTGGACCGGCTCCGGGTACACCAGCAGGTTGTTTTGCCTTGTTGTTGTTGTTGATGTTGTTGTTGTTGTTGTTGTTGTTGTTGTTGAAGTTGTTGTTGTTGGTGGTGGTGTTGTTGCTGCTGTTGTTGTTGTTGTTGCTGTTGCTGTTGCTGTTGTTGTTGTTGTTGTGATTGTTGTTGTTGTTGTTGATCTTGCTGTTGATGTTGCTGTTGCTGTTGCTGCTGTTGTTGTTGTTGTTGTTGTTTTTGTTGTTGTTGTTGTTGTTGGTGTTGTTGAACATTATTCCTTCTAAAGAATTATTATTGTTGGGACCCCTGGTGCGCGACCTCTGCGCCGCGCCTAGGCCGCAGCTACATTTTCATCATTTTTTCGCGAAAGTTTCAGAAAAGTGGATGAGCTCCGGATCCGGTTTTTTGTTGACGCTCGTTTTCCCTTGCAAAAAACAATAGAAAATGAAAATTCTTGTTTTTACTTGATCAAATTGCAAGAATCCCTTGCAAAAAATAAGGTAAAGTGGACATTCGTGCGCGCAAGACGAAATCCTTCCAAAACCTTAGGTTTCGTAACGATTTTAACATAAAAACATCAAAAACCCAATGGTTTTCTCAGAAAAAATTGTCAAAATGTCCTTCCGCGCGCTCTTGCGGATTCCTAGGAAACCCACCAGATTTTAAACATTTCTGTTAAAAGGGCCTTTGCGAGGAACCTTTTCAGGTGCTTCGACCTTCTGCAACAACGGTTGCGAGCCTACGAGGGCCACCATCCCTTGCAAAAAATGACACGAAGTGCACATGCGCGCGGCCGCCGCGCGCGCGTGCCGAAATCCTGCCAAACATAATGTGATTTCAATAATTTCAAGATGCGATGTTCCGAAAACATATGCAAACGCAAGACTTTCTCATCCGAAAAATATCAAAATCCACCCGCGGGCTCTTCATGAATCTTTAAAACCCAAGATGGCCCCAAGAGGCGCTCAAGATGGCCCCAAGAGGCGCCCATGAGGCCGCAAGAGGCGCCCAAGATGGTCCCAAGAGGCCCCAAGAGGACTCCAAGAGGCCCCCAAGAGGTTCCAAAGAGGCTCCAAGTTGGCTCCAAGAGGCCCCCAAGATGGCCCCAGGAGGCGTCCAAGCGGCTCCAAGAGTCCTCCGGGAGGATCCAATAAGCCCCCAAGAGGCCCCAACATGCTTTCAAGAAGCCCCCCAAAGCCTCTCAAGAGGACCCCATGCGGCGCCAGGAGGCTTCCCCCCTTCCCCAAGAGGACCCCCAGCGGCCCCAGGAGGCTTCCCCCCTTCCTCTCACGCTCATATCCGTAGCCATCTCGGATCAAGGTATCGCCTGTGTTCTTGGATCATGGCTTTGACGGCGAAAGACCTTCACGAGCAGTATGGCGCAGAGCTGTCCCGGCCTCCCTTGGCCGACTGCGAGAGTGCGTATTATTTGCATCAGGCGCTCGCGGCAAAGGGTATCAATGCCAGTCACCAGGCGTGCAAGACTTGGTGGGCCAAGTATCGGGTTGTGACTGGCAAGGTCAGTATTTCTAGCGCCAAGGAGCTGGAGGAGCAGCACGGGTCTGCCATCCGCCACCTGGGCATCGAGTATAATACCGCTTACAAATTATGCCGGGCGCTCCGACAGTTGGATCCACCACTGTATGTGCCAGATAGGGTCGCAACGGCGTGGCTACTGCAGTATTCATCGAAAGACACGCTTGTCCAAGTGCAGAACGCTGGCCATCTGGAGAGCTGGTATGGAGAACGTATTCGCAAAGACATGCCCGAGGGGACCACTGACGGGGCCGTCTTGAAGCAGTGGCTCCTTGGACATTTATCTGTATCTGCTAACGCCAGGGTATGCCAGAAGTGGCTCAGCACGGAGTGGGGCGCCAAGGGGGCACTCAACACTGCCCAAGCTGTGGAGGAATGTATGGGCGAGCGTCTTCGACTCAATCAGTATCGGGAGAGCTTCGCCGACGATGCCGCCGCGGAGGTCCTCTCGCAGCTTCTCTCGGAGAGCGATCCTCCCGTCGCTGTCAGCGGTATGGTTTTGAGGCAATGGTACGTGAAGTATCACCCTGACTCTGGACCTTTGCAGTACGACACGGCCGAAAAGCTCAACGCGGCACTTGGTGACCACATGCGCGATGTATATCCAGGGCTGAAGTACCACACGTTGCATACCGTGTTGCGTATGCGACGGAAAGCTGTCTTGGTGTCCCGATCAGTGTTGAGAAAGTGGTGCGATGTGTATGCGTCGGTGGGCTCCTCCGTGCAGGCGGCGGCTTCATCCGCCCAGGCCGTCACCAAGCGTGTATTGAAGCGCCCGGCGGCACAGGTCGCAGGCGGTGTATTGAAACGGCCAGCCGCCGCCGGATCTGCCCGCGTGGCCAAACGGCCTGCCGCGGTCGACGCGGAGGAGCCCGTATCCAAGCAGCAGGCCACGGCAGCTTCTTCCTCCACAGATGTGGTTCGTATGACGCTGATGACGGTGGAGGCTCTAGAGGCGGCATGCGGCAAGCGGTATCGAGAGGAGGTCTCCGACCTGGGCCTTGGCCTCGACTCACGTGTAATATGTGCTCCGAGGGCTTTCCCACGGAGTCGCCAGACCCATCTGGGGATCTTGGGAGGGCCTCCCAGGGCCCTGTGGTTATGTATTCTCTTTAGGCCTTCGGCCCCAGCCGCCAGACCTCTCTGGGTATCTGGGGGGTTCCCAGGGCCCGATTGTCTTAGTTTCTGTGACCCGATTCCCAGGGGAAGTTTATGAGGGCGTCTGGGGGGTTCCCAGGGGAAGTCTATGAGGCCTGTGGATTCAAATAAAAAGATGAAGTGAGTATGCCTGCTCTGGTCGCATGTGCGGCGGCGGACTTCGTCTTTCCGACGGCGCTCGCATGAGTGTTCTGCGTGTACGGTCGTATGGACTTTGGCATTTGGGCACATCTATGCGGTTCGCTTCTATTTGTACGTAGCGGTTTCTGCTCAAGCCGCTTACTGTATATCGCGAGATCGTATTCACCTCCATATTGCCGGCCTTCCGCATGGCTTCCCAGATGGCCGGTCGGCTCGACCCCGTGACGGGCGAGTATTACCCAAGCGATAATGAAGTGCGCTACAGTATGGAGCGCTGGCACACGCCACCCAACCACGAGGCGTATGCGCGGCGCTGGCTCAAGCAGTGTGGCTCGGAGAGGTGGTTCGCGTGCGGTATCTTCTTCCCTATTCTATGGGAGGGTGTCAAGGGCGTATGCCTCGCCGTATCGAGCGTTATGTCCACGAGGCAGTCGAAGACGAACAACGACCCGGACTACCAGCACAGTATGGGGGGCATCCCCGAGCCGGAGTGGCTTTACTTCGACGCCTTCTTCTACGCGCACGCGGTATTCGGGAACTTCTCGGTATTCCAGGATGAGAGGTTTGGGAAGCCCATTGGCTACCTTCTGCACGTATTCGACACGCTGTGCACCGCGCGAGGTATCGTCGCCTGGAAAGCCAACCTCTTCGTCCACCCGGGCCAGTGGGTGTATAGCAGTATGCGGTATTTGCTCGGTCAGCTCGCTATTCCCATTCATGCGGAGATCGTATCCGGCCTCTCCTACAGGGCCCTCGCCACCTTGGACGTATTCATTGCGTATCACGCGGCCTTCATGGGTACGGACCCGCAGAAAATGGCCATTTGGAACGTATCCCCTGAGGTCGGCCCAGAGATGAAGTATCCGCGTCAAGACCAGTGGTGGTGGTTGCCCGTATGGCGGTCTTTTGGTCAGAGCGACGAGTATCCGAACATGCTCGATTACCCGGCCTTGCCACCGCAGGTCCACAACGTGCTCGCGTTAGCACTGCCGTATGCAAGCCCCGGCTCTCTCGCCAGCAGGCGCATCGGCAATATCATTGGGCATTTGGGAGCGCACGGGTATCAGCCAGGCCCGCACCTGCATCAGCCAGGCAGCCATGTACCCAAGCGCCTTTGCGACGTCGCAGACGACGAGTCGCCTTAGTATGCTTCTGGGTGAGTATACTCCTACGTGTGACTGGACCTGTTTGCGAAAGCAGGAGAAAGTATGGCACCCCTTTGTGTCCAGAGCCGCGCCGTCTGCGTTATTCCTTTCTCGCTTCTCTCCTTTCCTCCTTGTCCTGCTCCTCCTCCCCCTCTTGCGCCTCGGAGCCGTATTGGAACTGTCGATGGCCATCTCCCTGTCTCCCTCGCATGTCTGCTTGTACATATGTATAATTTCAGAACTAAACGTGCATGTGATCGTTTAGAACATGGTGGACCGTGCGTATGTCACGAACCTTGTGTACTTTCTCTCCCTCCGTCTGGCTGTGCACGCGCGCGTTGGGCAGTGAGAGTTAGGATCACAGCGCCACCAGTGTATGAGCAATGCATGCGTCATCCTTGGGACTGTATAACAGCAGAAACAGACAACATTGCATCGCAGCGGGACAGCCATCGGGACAACCATCGGGACAACCATCGGGACAACCATTTGGACAAGCATCGGGATAACGATCGGGACAACCATAACCATCAGGACAACCATCGGGGCAACCATCGAGACAACCATCGGGACAACGATACCTTCTCTCTTGTGTCCTCCCACATCCCTCAGGAAGTTGCCCTAAAGATGTGACCGACTCCTCTCTCTCCTTCTCTCTGTCTCTCGCTCTTTCTCTGCTTCATATCTATCATACGTAACACATCTACTTGTGTAATCGCCTTCCCAGGAATTTGCCTCAAAAATGTGACCAACTATCTTGGCACTGCGTACCATCTCACGTGTACCGTGTACCACATCTTCTCAGGTTGCCTCACACATGTGACGAATCTCTTTCTATCTCTCTCTCCACTGGCTCTCTGTCTTGCTCTCTCTCTCTCTCTCTCTGTCTCTCTGTACTATGTATGTCATACGCAACAAATGCACCATGCGGGGCACATGCGGGGCCCAAACAAGTGATCAACCTCTGCGGGTGTGTACTCCACGCCAGTGTAGTATCCACGATCGTCCGCGCGCCACGAAGTGAAGTGTCCTGACGTCATAGGGCGGGAAGCTGGGTGTGGGTGGTTCCCGAGAGTCGTGTGGATGTTTGGTAGAGCTTGCATTGCCCCCCCACGAAGTGGGGGTATTGGCTGGCGTCGCATGAAAACCCTGGCACTGGGGAGAACACTGAGCGTTCGGGTAAAATGATTGTTGTTGTTGTTGTTGTTGTTGTTGTTGTTGTTGTTGTTGTTGCTGTTGTTCGCGAGGACACTACTGGAGGCCCGTTGCTCGACCCCCCCCCGAGCAACACCACGGGGCCACGCACGGTCTCTGCAGGGCCCCTGGTCCGAGCAACGCCACGAGGCCTCGCCAGGCCGCTGCGGGGGTCTGCAGGGCCCCGCGGCGTTGCTCGGAAGGCCCTTTCGGGACTGCTGCGGAGTCCCATACAGGCCCCAAAGGGCGCACCCCTCTCACGGATCGTGGCCCTGGCCCCACAGGGAGCTCCACCGAGGTTTGATTTCGGCACACCCCCCTCGAGGATCGTGGCTCAGGGAGCTCCACCGAAACTTGATTTCGGCGCACCCCTCTCACGGATCGTGGCCCTGGCCCCACAGGGAGCCCCACCGAGGCTTCATTTCGGCACACCCCTTTCGAGTATCGTGGCCCTGGCCCCACAGGAAGCTCGAGGACGACAATGATGGGGATGTTGATCGCTGACAGATGATGAGGCTGAACATGCCGACGAAGATGAGGGTCATGCTGATAATGGTGAGGGCGATACGGACGAGGAGGAGGATCGGGGTGATGATGAGGGTCACGGGCAGGAGGACGATGATGAGGATGAGGATGACGAGTGAGGATGGTGAAGACGAGGATGAGGACGATGACGATGAGGACTGTTGTGACGATGATGATGCTGATGATGATGATGACGATGATGGTGATCACGATTGCGATCGTGATGTTGGTCATGTTGATGATGATTATGTTGGCGATAATAATGACCATGATGATGATGACGCACAGGATGGCGATGATGAGGACGATGAGCGCGAAGAGACGGACGATGATGAGCATCATGATGATGACGATGCTGATTATGATGGGATGGTCGTCGTCAAGGTCCAACAGTCTTCCATGGGATTCCTATAGAAACCATATTGGAATCCTATAGGATCCCTAGAGGGTCCTACAGGAGTCCGTCGATTTGTTTTGAATAGTATAGGATTCCTACATCATCCAACAGGATTCCATAGGTCTCCTATAGGAATTCTTTTGGGATCCCTACAGGTTCCCATAGGAACCTCATAGGAAGCGTTTTGGAATCCCATAGGATCCTTGCAGGGTCCTACAGGAGTCCATAGGCAACCAACTGGAATCCTGTAGGATTCCTATGGGATCCCTACAGGGTCCTACAGGATTCCATGATACTCCTTTTGGAATCCTTGAGAAAACCTCTACGGTCGCTGCAGGGTCCTACAGGATTCCATCGGGATGCGATTGGAATCCTATTGGAATCCTATGGGGTCCCTAAAGGGTCCTAGAGGATTCCATAGGAATCCTATTGGAACCCAATTGGAAATCTTATAGGCTCCCTGCAGGGTGCTAGAGAATACCATCGGGAACCTATTGGAATCCTATTGGAAATCCGATAGGGTCCCAACAGGGTGATGCAGGATTCCACAGGAATCCGATTGGAATCCGATTGGAGATCCTATAGGGTCCCAACAGGTTCCTACAGGATCCCATCGGCATCTTATTGGAATCCTAGTGGGAATCCTATAGGGTCCCTACATGGTACTACAGGATTCCATGGGAATCCGATTGTAATACGATTAGAATCCTATGGGATCCCTACAGTTATCCTGCAGGATTCCATAGGAATCCGGTTAGAATCTCACTGGGAACCCATAGGGTCCCTACAGGGTCCTACGGGATTCCATCGGATTCCTATTGGAATCTCATTGGAAACCCATAAGGTCCCTACAGGGTCCAACAGGATTCCATAGGAAACCATTGGAATCCCATGGGACTCCTATTGGGAGCCTATAGGATCCCGACAGGGTCCTACAGGATCCCATCGGATTCTTATAGGAATCCGATTGGAGTCTTATAGGATCCCTACAGGGGCCTGCAGGATTCCATAGGGTTCCAATAGGAATCCTATTGGGGTCCTTTTGGATCCCTATAGGATCCCTTCAGTGTCCTCCAGGATTCCATAGGAACCCTATAGGAATCCTAGAGGATCCCTACACGGTCCTACAGGATTCCCTAGGAATCCGATTGTAATACGATTGGGGTCCTATGGAATCCCTAGCAACCCTATAGCAACCCTATAGGAATCCTGTAGGAATCCGATTGTAATACGACAGGATGTCATAGCAACCTTTTAGGAATCCAAGGGGGGGCCTATAGGATCCCTACAGGGTCCTACAGGATTCCATCGGAACCCTATAAGGATCCTATAGGATCCTTTCAGGGTCCTACAGGATTCCATCGGAAACCTATAGGAATCCCATGGGATCCTCACAGGGTCCTACAGGATTCCACCGGAACCCTATAGGGATCCGATAGGATCCTTACAGTGTCCTGCACGATTCCATAGGAGTCCGATTGGGAGGAGGAGCTGGCCTTGCTGGCGCGCGGTCGGTTTTCGGACACAGGCGTGGGGAACAGTGAGGGAGCCCACGGAGATTCGTAAACACATATAGGTTTACGCTAGCGTATCACAGAGGTGTTGCGCGTTGCTCCCCCCCCCCGGGCAACAACTGCAACGTGTGGCCTGGGGGAGTGCGCTCGCCCCGGGGGCGAGGACACCGCCACGGGCCCCGCCGGGGTGGCCTGAGAGGGTGCCCTTGCGTTGTTGTTGGTGGTGGTGGTGTTGTTGTTGCGGTTGTTGTTGTTGTTGGTGGTGGTGGTGTTGTGGGTGTTGTTGTTGATGATGTTGTTGTGGTTGGTGCTGTTGTTGTGGTTGGTGTTGATGTTGCTGCTCCTGCTGCTGATGTTGTTGTTGTTGTGGTGGTTGATGTTGTTGTTGTTGCTGTTATTGCTGTTGTTGGTGTTGTTATTGAGTGTGTTGTTGTTGGTGCTGTTGTTGTTGCGTTGTTGCTGTTGTTGTTGATGTTGTTGTTAGTGGTGCTCTCCTTCTTCTTCTGTCATCCGCCTGCTGAGCTGCTCGAGCTGCGCTGTCGCGAAGGCGACGCTCAGAGGCCGCAGCCACGACACTCTTGTTGCAGACGGGGCCTCCCGTAGCGGACTGGCGCTGGACTGGGCTGCTGATCTGCTCTGACATCTCCGTGGGCGGTGGCTGGGGGGCATCCGCCAAAAAGATGAAGCGGCGCGGCCCCAGTCAGGACGTCTCACGCGTGAACAGAAGGCCAAAGGTTCTCCAGAGCTCAAGAGAGTCCGAACCAGACCGGATGAAAGAGTGAACGGGCTATCAAATGTCGCCACGGTGCCTTGTGTTGCAGTGAAGTGCAGTGCAGTGTTCAGCAGGGCAGAGCAGTGTACCTGGTACACTGGCGTGCAAGATGTTACGCTTCGTTGCACTGTTCAAAGGTGTTGCATAGGTCGTGCTATGTTTTGCTCTGCGCAGCATTGCAATACACCGCATACCGTTGCGTTGTGTTTATGTGTTGTGCTTTGATTTGCCGAACGTTATGTATATTTGATTTGTTTTCCTTCGCACTGGACTACCTGTAATCCCCCTGTAATCCCCAGAGCCCCCTCAACCTGCTAACCCCACCCCTGCTCCTGGTCCCTGCTTCCGCAGGGGCGGAGGCGGAGACGAAGGCAGAGGCTGAGGCGGAGACGGAGGTCGAGGCGGAGGCGGCGGAGAGAGGAGATACAGGAGGTCCTCGTCCTCCTCCTCCTCCACCGCCACCTCCTCCTCCTCCTCCTCCTCCTCCTCCTCCTCCTCCCCCTCCTCTTTTGACCTCCCTCCTCCGCTCCCCTCTCCTCGCTCCTTCCCTCTTCCCTCGCTCCCCCTCCCCACCCACCCCCGCTCCGACAGCGGCGGACGCCGACGACGCCTGCGGAGGCGGCAGCCACGAGCCGAGCGGCCCTGGCTCGAGCGGCGCCCCACGCGCAAGGCGCACCGCGCGCGCGAGCGATATCCGCCCGCGCGTTTTTGCCCGAGGGAGGCGGCAGGTGCTCTCGCGCGTCGGCGCACGGCTGGGCAGGCCGCCTCCGTCCGCGCCGCCGGTCGAGGGCTCGAGGGGTCGTCAGAGGCAACGATAGGGTGGGGGGGGAGGCACAGGGGCAACATTAGGTTCGAGGCTTGAGGTTCGAGTCTGCCGGGCGTTTTCGTCAGTTCTTGGCTGTTCTCCAGCCTCCGGATGCTCTCCAGCGGCGCCTCGTCGAGGGCGTTCCCGGGGTGCCCGGATCGTCCTGAACGGCCTCCGGAGAGCCGAAACCATTGGGCAGCGCTAGGGGAGGATAGGCGCCCATTCATCGCCGACAGGGGCCCGACAGCCCCACCCCGCCCAGGAGCGTGGGGACTTGCTATCGGGGGCCTATCGCCGATCTATCGGCAGTGTATCTATCGCCGATGCCAGGTCGATCTTTCCCCCCTTGTTCCAGTCCCACCTTGTCGTTACCCCATCAGCTCGAGGAGGGCAACTGTCGCCATGAAGGCGACGGCGAGAGACGTCGACCAGCCCACGACCACGACCACGACGACCACGACGTCCACGGCGAACACGACGACCACGACGACCACGACGACCACGACGACGACCACGACCACTACCACGACGTCCACGGCGACCACGACGACCACGACGACCACGACGACCACGACGACCACGACGACCACGACGACGACAACGACGACGACGACGACGACTTCGACCACGACCACGACCACGACCACGACCACGACCACGACCACGACCACGACCAGGACCAGGACCACGACGACGACGACGACGACGACGACCTGAGGTTCGAACGTCGTGTCTCGAGTTTTCTAACGTTTCTCAACCTTCTTGCGCCTCTAGGGTGCTCATCGTCGCCACGGCTGGATCCATCTTTAAAGTCTTGACGCCTCGTTTCGCTAAGCCGTAGCTCGCTAGTTACGATTTTCGGACGGCGTCCGGCGTCTCCGGTGCGCTTGCGATCAAAAAAGTATTCACACCATCATTATGTTTTCCCTTTAACTGGTGGCACAGCCTGCCCCTGCTTGCCCTGCATTCGACCCGCTTCGCGCGCCCTCGTACCAAAAAGGTATCCACACCATCCCATCTAGACACGATCGGAGGTTTTCTTGAGGCTTCTTGGAGGTGGTCTTGAGCCATGCTCGGCTAGAGGCTATCGGAGGCTAGCTTGAGCCATGCTCGGCTATCTCGGGCCATCTTGAGGCTGTATTGAGGCCTGTTGGAGGTTTAACAGAGGCTATCTTCAACCATGCTCGACCTCCCGGGGCCATCTTGGAGGTAGGAGAAAGAGGTGGAGGAGGAGGAGAAGGAGGAGGAGGAGGAGGAGGAGGAGGAAGAGGAAACGGAGAGGAGGTGGCGAAGGGGGAAGAAGAGGAGGAGGAATAATGCGGAGGAGGAAGAGGAGGAAGAGGAGAATGAGGGAGGAGGCAGGAAGGGGGAGGGAAGGAACGGACGATGACAAGGAGGATGAGAAGTCGGGCTTTGGAGATATGTTGTTGGACGAGGTTCTTGAAGTACGGCTGGGCCATCTCAGGGGCTCTCTTGGGGTCTCCGTGGGGCCTCTTGGGGTACTCTTGGGGCCCTCTCCGGGCTCATTTGGAGGCTCTTGGGGCCCTCTGGGGCTCATTGAAGGAGTCAGGGGGGCTTCTTGGCCTTCCTGTATCGAAAAGAGGGGGGAGGCAGTTCAGGTCCCCTCCCTGGAGAACCTGAACTTGCGTCTTAGGGGCCCTCTAGGGCAGCTTTTGGGCGTCTCTTGAGCGCTGTTGGGGCCGTCTGGGGGCGCTCTTGGGCCCCTCTTGGGGCTCTCCTCTGCAATCATGGTGCCATCTTGGGGCCTGAACGGCCAATCGGAAGCGAAACTGCAAGAAGGCAATTTGCTTGGCGAAGGACCCAACCATATGCACTGAGCTGTGAGCATCGTCTTCGGTGGAGTTCCCCATGGGGCCACGAAACGTATGAGGGGGGTGCCGACATGGGTGCGGCGGGCGCATGCGGACGCAGCCACGTCGGCCTTCGGTGGAACTCCCTATGGCACCACGAAGCGCGGGAGGGGTTGTGTCCACATGGGTGCGGTGGGCGCATGCGAACGCAGCCATTGGCGCCTTCGGTGGGGCTCCTGATGGGGCCGCGAAACGTGTGAGGGGTGTGCCGAAAGTGGTGCGGCGGGCGCATTGCGGCTCCCTATGGGGCCACGAAGCTTGTGAGGGGTGCGCCGACATGGGTGCGACGGGCGCATGCGAACGCAGCCACTGGGGCCTTTGGTGTAGCTCTTCATGGGGCCACGAAACATGTGAGAGGTGTGCCGGAAGTGGTGCGGCGAGCGCATGAGAACGTAGCCATTGCGGCCTTCGGTGGAGCTCCTTATGGGGCCACCAAGCGTGTGAGGGGTGCGCCGACATGGGTGCGGCGGGCGCATGCGAAAGCAGCGACTGGGGCCTTCGGTGGGGGTCCCTACGGGGCCAGTGAACGTCTGAGGATTTTTTAAGACATTGGCGCGGCGGGTGCCTGCGAACGTCGCTGAAATCAGTGCGGCGCGCATGCGGACGCAGCCAGTGGCGCCGTCGGTGGAGCTGGCCGCGAAACGTGTGAGAAGTGCTCCGAAATTCGTGCGTCTGGCGCATGCGAACGCAGCCACTGGGGCCTTCGGTGGAGTTCCCTATGGGGCCGCGAAATGCGGGAGGGGGGTCTACATGGGTGGGGCGGGCGCATGCGAACGCAGCCATTGGCGCCTTCGGTGGAGCCCTATGGGGCCGCGAAACGTGTGAGAGGTGTGCCGAAAGTGGTGCGGCGGGCGCATGCGAACGCAGCCACTTCGGCCTTCGGTGGGGCCCCCCTCACGCGAACGCAGCCACCGGGCCCCCTGGTGGCGCCCCCTACGGGGCCACGAAACGTGTGAGGGGTGTGCCGGGATTGTTGATTGTCGTGGGGGGGCAGATGCAAGGAGGGAGATGAGGAGGAGGGGGAGAGGTGGAGATGAGAGGAGGGACGCGGCGCGCTGTCTCTTCAAAACGAGGGCACCACAAGATGGTTGGGAGCAACACATTGTCAGTTTAAGTGTTTGGGAGATTATGGCCTGTTGGAGGTTGCCTAGGAAGGCGCTCCAAGAACACTTGGAACCGTCTTGGGGCTGTCGTGAGGCCTCTTGGAGGCATGTCATTAAGAGGATGTGTTGAGCCATCTTCGGCTATCTTGAGCCATCTTGGAGGCTGTCTTGGGCTGCCAAGGGCCCCTTTGGTTCCATCTTGAGCCCATCTTAGAAAATCTAACTACCCTCCCCCTCCCGCTCCCAGGCCCAAAGTGAGGGGATATGGGGGAGGGGCCAGTACACCCTCCTAGACAGCAGGCCGTCTAGCTCACTCCCACCAGCCCTCCCAACACATAATGAACACCCCAGTGTCAGCAGATCGCTTAGGAATGCCACACATGCTATGCGCGCCACGGGTTCCAGGTGCACCAGGCACCCTGGAGGTCCAAGCGTGCCAGGTGCGGCGCATGATCCACGTGCGCAAACTGTGCCACGTGTTACAGCCGCGCCAGGTGCGCCAGCTACGGGGAACACACACATCTATATCTATATATATATATATATATATATGTATACACATATTTGTTATACATATATATATATACACACACCAGGTGCGTGGGGCCCTGGCCCCAAGGCGTTCGGGATTTGGAATCCCCCTGAAGCGAAGTGCCAAACATTATGTGAGAAGGGCGGTTCCCCCAGGGAGCTCAAAGCACGAGCAACGATGGACAAATCGCGACATCTGGAGTCGTGAAATACATGAGAGCTCAGAAGAAAAGAGGGCCCAGCGCATGCTCCAGATTTGGAGCCAACATGTAAGTTTGAATTGTTTCTGGGCAGGGGTGGTTGGCCTGCGCGCAACAAGCAATATGCGGCACCCCTGCCGCCCCTGTCAACACACACATGCAAAGTGTTCGCGGGGCGCCCGCGCATGCGCCAGATGTGAGGGCACAGTGCATATCGCATTGATGTTTACAAGGGATGGGGGGGGCTCATTGGTCTGGATTGGCTGCCAGTTGCTTTGGGGAGGGGGTGTCTACTAATAGGGAACAGTGACAAACCCTTCCCCCGAGCAGTGCAAAGAGGGGGAGAGAAGACAAAACTCGTTAAACCACCTACGCCCTAAAGGGCTGGCGGGATCCCGGTCAGAACTCACCGCACGATGCTCTCGCCGCTCGAACTTGAAATCCA